TGCAGGTGGGCACATGCACATGTGTGCGCACCAGCATATGGGGGCACGGGAGTGTGTACACAGCTGTGTGTGTGCATGTGCACATGTATGTGTACCAGCACAAATGTGTGAGTGGGTGTACATGCACACGGCATCAGCCGGAGCACGCCTGTGTGCCTGTGTGCACAACTGTGCAGGTGCACACAGGTCTGTGTGTGTGTGTGTGTGTGCCCACCCCGGGTGCAGAAGTTGGTGCCCCCACGAGTGCTCCTGTGACCCTGCAGCCCCCACTGGGCACCCACACTAGTGTCCTGAGGCTGGGGGACCCGTCCTGCCAGTCCAAGGAGTTCCCAGGACAGAAAGGTGGTGACCTCCTCCAGGGACCTGCAGCCCCAGCCCCCAGGACCCTCATGCAGCGCCAGATGCCCAGGTCCCCAAGGGCCAACCCAGGATGCAGGGCCGAGTGGGAGGGGGTGGTGGGCACCTTAATCCCCCGCCACTGTGGCTCTGGGCATTTGGGCCAGGCCCAGGAATGGGTTTAGCCCTTTCTCAGCCGGGTGTTGGGAGGATTTCCCAGAACATCTCGTACGGGATTGCTATCACCGCCCTGCCACCCCCCTCACCCCTGGCCTGGATCAGGCCACCAGCAGGGGACAGGGACAGGGACCCCCTGCACAGCTCCCTCCTACCTCAATGCTTCAAGGAGGGAGTCACAGCTCCCTCCAGGACCCTCCCGCCTGCTCCCTGTGGTACCAGCCCCATAGGGCAGATGTGGGGCAGGATGAGGCACAGTCCCTGGGCTGCATGGGGCACAGTCCTGGGGCAGGACTTGCTTTCCCCAGTCTCCTCTTGACAGTATCGGTGCCTCCAGCCCGCCAGCTGGGCACCCTCCGGGCTCTGGTGGGGCTGGGGGGGCCGGGACGGATCCTGCTCCACCGTTGGGGGTGCAGGGAGTCAGGATAAGAGCCAAGGGGGGAGAAAGACAAGCACCCCAGGGCGTGGGAGCCGCCGTGTCAGCCCTGCAGCATCGCTTTAATTAGCCCAGCCCCCCCCTTTTTCTTAATGAACAGCTAATTGGGGCTGTCTAGACAGGAAAGGGAAAAAAACCACCAAGCAGAAAGCAAGCTGTCCATAGCGCCAGCGGCCACCATGGGGCTGGGAGAGGCTGGTCTGGGGATGGGGCACTGGGTTGGCCCTATAGAAAGCACCTATAGAGACAGCCCCTGCCTAAGTGGTGGGGTCCTATAGCAACACTACAGCACCCACAGCGAGACTGGGCCTAAATGGCAGGGGGAGGGAGCTATAGCAATACCTGGAGACCTATAAAGACCCAATGCCGAAATCAGAGGGTCCTATAGCAACACTACAGCACCTATAGAGAGCCTGTGACTTGCTGTGGGGAGGTCTATAGCAACACCACAACACCTATAGCCAGCTTGTGCTTTGGTCTGAGGGCCCTATAGCAACACCACGGCAGGCACAAAGTGCCTGGGCTTTCACGGGCGACTTCTGACAATGGTGCCTGTAGACAACTTGTGAGCTGCCCGGGGGGAGCCTATAGCAGCAGGAGGGCACTATAAGGAGGCACTTACCCCCTTCCATGTCTTCTGTCCAGTTGCGGCTGCTGCTGGTGGGCGAGTTGGAGGAGGTGTAGTACTCGCCCCCTGGGCTCGGCAGGCACAAAGTGCCTGGGCTTTCACGGGCGACTTCTGACAATGGTGCCTGTAGACAACTTGTGAGCTGCCCGGGGGGAGCCTATAGCAGCAGGAGGGCACTATAAGGAGGCACTTACCCCCTTCCATGTCTTCTGTCCAGTTGCGGCTGCTGCTGGTGGGCGAGTTGGAGGAGGTGTAGTACTCGCCCCCTGGGCTGGTGTCGATGTCGTCCTCCATGGACCCCGACTTGTGCCGTTTGCTCCTGGGGGGCAGGGAAGGGATCAGCGCCAGCCCAGCCCATGGCAGTAACGCCACCCCAGCCCGGGGCAGTATGTGGCCTTTCGCCCCCGGCCCGGGCTGGCCCCACACCGCCCTGCCCCAGCCTGCTGGCACTTACCCACTGGAGGAGGTGCTGGGCAGTGTCCTCCTCATGCCGGCGCTGGAGGGGTTCAGGTCATAGGCCAGGTGGCCCTGCAGCTCCCCCAGGGAGAAGTTTGGCCCCGTGCCCGTTACCACCGGCGCTGTGGGGAGAGAAGGGGATCAGGGGGGGCTGGCATTGCCCCCAGCCTGCAGCTGGGATGCAGGAGCTGTCAGAACACTGTTGTGCCCAGGCAGCCAGTGAGGGTGGTGGTGGCATCATGGTGGCACTCACTTCGGGACACCTGGATGAGCTCGGTGACGCTGAACACCCCCGAGGTGATGAAGCTTTCCTGGAAGTCTGTTGAATCTGCACAGGAGAGAGGAGGGAGCGCTAAGGATGGGACAGGACCATCCCTCTAGCCCTGTGCTGTCTTGTGGTGACACTCAAGGATAGCCCAACATGCCCCAATTCCCCTGTAATGCCACCTGCCACCTCTCCTCAGATGGTTTTGCTCCACTTCCTTCCCCCAGCAAGGGACCACCCCAACTGGTCCTCTCTGCCGAGGACACCCTGCGGCTGCTCCATGCCTCGGTTTCCCTGTGACTGAGAGTGCTAACAGGGCTGGGGGCTGCACCCCCACCATGAACCCCCATGGCAGCTGCTGTCCCCAAGGGACACGGCCCTGGTGGGGCACTGCTGGCCATGGGACAAGTTTGAGGCCATGTCCAGTTCATTGCAGGTGCCAGGCAGCGGTTGACTGGGGCTGTGGGGCACTGGCGCAGCTGGCAGGAGCCACCCGTGCAGGGGGTATGGCCACCTGTCAAGGGGGCTGCCTCCGCCA